ATAAGAAGTTTTTTGACAAGTGTACTTGAATTATGAAGACCTATATGTAGTTTAAATTCAGCTGATAAAACAAATATTTATATATAATAATTATTAAGTCTATATGAATTCAAATTTGTACTTAAAATGTATAGCATATTATTTTAGTAGAAAGTGATTTAGTAAAAAGAAAATTAAATCTAATAACTAGATTTAAAATTTGTTCTATCGTATCATATAATATTAGTTATAAAAGAATATTTTCTGATATAGGTTGGATATATTTAAAATATTGAATAAAGTGTTTTATTTTTCACTCTTTATATATTTTTTTATTATTATTTTAATTATTAAATTTACTTAATTTAAGATTATCAATTGAATAAATGAAAGCAATGGTAAATTTATATATTTATTATGTTAGTAATATTTTCTCTAAAATGAATTAAGTTTATTCAGATCTTATTGAGAATGAATTTTATAAAGCAGTTAATAATATTGTAGAATTTTCTAATAACAAAATTGGTGAATAAGAAGAATTAAATATGATTAAAGAAGATAATAGAGATAATAATCTTATTATAGATAATAAAGAAACTCTTAAATATAATAATGAGTTAATAATGGAAAATTATTTTAATTTTAATAACCAAAATTTGTAAAAAGCATTAAAAGTGAAAGTAAGAGTAGTTATTAAACAAGAAATTGAATATGATCACAAAAAAAAAAGAATTTTAATATTAATGCATTATTAAATGCTAGGGATGTTAAACAGTCCTAAAAGATTGTGAACAAATTAAGAAATTACGAGTTATAGAAAAGTCTAATCGCTTATCTATAATAAGTAACTCTTGATAAAAAATTGTTATAATTAGTTTTATAAATAATTTGTAAATAAAATATAAACTTTGAAATTGATAATTTTCATGGGATTGCTAAGGTAGGATCTAGTCCTTAGGACCAGGTCCTAAGTTTCAAAAATTAAGATTCTGGATTTTCACATAAGTTTAATATATATTTTTAATTAATTTTCAATTAATACATTATCTTTAGAAAGTAAAATATACCACTAGCAAAATAAAATTCTTCTTTAGAACTGGCAAATTTTTGTGACTTTTAGGACCATTTAGGACCGTTTAACATCCCTATTAAATGCTAATTTTAATAAGTAAATATTATTATAAAAATTTATATAAATATGTTTATTTATATATATATAAAAAATACAAAAACAAAAACAAAATAAAAAATAAAAAATAAATTAACATCTTTATCTCTTTCTTTTTCTTTCTTTACTTCAAATATTTTCATAATTAATTTTTACTTTTGTTAAGATTGCCAGATGAAATCTAATCATGTTAAAACCAACTATTTAAGCTAATATTCTAACTAAAACAAAAAAAATATTAAATGTTTTTTAAATAAAATATACCTATATTCTAATTTGTTCAAATCTTAAAAAGTCAGCATATTTACAATAAATAAGAAATGTTAGAAATGTTTCTCTTTTAAATAAATACACAAAAAACTCATTAAAATAATAATACTACTACACTTATTTGAAGTCCAGTTTATAAATTTATTTGGAAATTTCTACAAAAAAAAAAATGTTAAAAACATTTCTTTTTTTAAATACAAAAAAAATTATGATATTCAATTCTGACTTTTTAAGTAATTTAGTATTTTTACAAATAGATAAAACAAGTAAAAAAATGTTAAATTTTTTAGAATAGTTATAATAAAAAATCTTCCTATTTACTTTCCTCATATTCATAATATTCAGTTTCGTAAAAATTTAAAAAGCTGATATCTCTATATATCAAAAAAGAAAAAACTATTTATAACTTTTTTTAAAAGTGTTTATTTACTTACTTCTTTTCTATAATGCTATGATTTTTACAAAAAAAATAAAAGTAAAAAACATTAAAAAATTTAAATTATTAATTGATTAGCAAATCAATCAATTTTTGAAATTCTATTTTAAATTTTAAGATAACTATTCAATTTCAACCTTGCAATCAATTTTAATTATTATAATTAATTTTAATCATCATAATCAATTTTGATTTATATTTTTATTATTAATTTTTTTTGTAATATTCTGACTTTAACTTTATTATTTTAGTTTCATGTATAGTTAAAATAGTTCCCAATATTATTGCTAGTTCATTACGTCTATTTAAATTTCGAACAGCATTGTAAAATCTTAATACCTCAAAAAAATAATCTTTGTTACATTAGATTGAGAAATAATATGTGTATCTAATAAAATTCAAAGAAAGCATTGACAACAGCATGAATTTGAAAGTATTTACTATTCAAATAAATTTGCATTAGAATCAATTTAAAAGAAATTGAATGAGTATGACTATTTAGCGTATCTGACGAATAAGCCCTAGTTAATATAATAATAATACTTTATATATGCTTAGTCAAACTTCAATCTTTATGCATAGCTAATAGAAAAGTAAATAAATACTTTAAATTTTAGGGTTAACAAGACATTTCTCAAGTATTTAAGTCAATGGAAAAAGATAAAAATGGGCTAAGCAGTTTCTTACTTAGATTCAGGATGCTATTTCTTCTGAAGAATTAAGAGATTCAAAAAGTTCAAAGCTAAATGATTTAATAGATTCTTAAAAAAATATGATCTTATTTCTTAATCTTTATATAATATAGGATTAATATTTGCAGTAGTATCACATAGAGCTAAGAATTCATCATATACTATGACTAAAAATTGTCTTTATAATTATTCTTAAATTTTATTTGAGTTGCAACATTAATAAATTTCATTGTGATATAAGTTTCTATACAATTGTGACATTTTTTGGTAATTGCAGAGTTATCTTTAACTATGACTATTAATAGAAAAATACTTCATTGTAACTCTAATAATAATACTTTACTAGCATAGAATTATATTATAGTTAATTATTAAGTTAGAGAAGTTTTATATAATCAAGCAAAGCCATTCAAACTCTTTGATGAAAACTAATTACATAAATAAAATAGATACTGATTATTAAATTTTATTTTTTTTTTGCTTTCTAATATAGTATATAAAATATATTATGAAAATGGTAAACTATCAAAAAAGTTATCAGTCACTTCAGAATCTTTAAGAAAATATACAGAATAATTTGCAATAATATTCTAATTCAGGGTTAACTAAATCAACAGATTGAGTGATAATCATTAGCTTAGAAGACTTTTTTTGCTGAACCTCAGCATACTCTTATGTGATAAGAAATATAGATTAGCTAACTTATTCTAAACATAAATACTGATTGGTACTAAGCTGAACTTTTTATGAACATTTTATTAATCATTAAGGAGAAAGCTTCAGAAATAATGAAAGCCTCTTTCCAGTAAACCAAAATTTCTTTACCTCCATTTTGCTAAACTTTCCTAATACTATATATCTAGACCATCTTCTAAGAGACTATAGAATTTCTCAAATTTTTAAAGATATGCTCTTGCATTTTTATCAGCTTTTTCTACCATTTCTTGATTAGTGTAGCTAATAATACCAAGTTTATTCTGAATTGTTATTTTATCCTCTTCCAAATATAAAAGCAAATTATATAATTTTGCAAGTGATATACCTGTAGAAGTTTTATTGTTTTGAAATGCCTCTACTAGAATGGAATTGCCATTGATTTTGAGTTTCTCCTAAATTGGTATTATATCCTCTACCAATCTAATAACAACTCATATGAATCAGCAAGTGTTTTCACTTTCTTGCTTTGATGTATTGCTGTTAGATTTACATTATTATTAATATTGATTTTTGTTCGAATAGCTATTATATCCTTCTTCTTATATAAAAACGCTTCATATAATTGAGCAAGTGTTTTGTTTTGATCAGATTTATCCTGTCATGATTGCTATAATAAAGTAATATATTTAATGCGAAAATTTCGAGTTTAGAATACTGATCATTAAATCCGAAGCGGGCCAAAGACACTTTGCATGATCTTCAGCTCAGAAGATTTTTGCATACTTGCGTTTTAGAAAACTGAGAATCTTATTTGTATCACTGAGAACAAACAAGAGCGAAATCTAATTGAGGGTTTAGCTCAGAATATTAAACAGTTAGAGAGCTCATGCCAAACGAATATGAAAAAACAAAAGTGGGATGATAATGATTTCGATTATCTCTGACATTATCACTACAGCTCAGGATGCTTTACACTCCGGGGAAAATTTCACAAGGCATTTAGCATCGAATTTTCTTGAATAAAAAATATGAAGAATATAAATCACTACGTAATGGCGTGAAAAAGGTGTTGGGTGTAGTAGTAGTATTATTAAAGGATAGGGCATATGCGGAAGATGATTCTCACTCAAAGAAAAAGACTAGAAAAGAGGAAAAACAATAAGCATGTAATAATAGAAACTTTATGTATTTATTTTCTTGGCAAAAGTGATCACAATTGTTCACGCACACGTGATTTTTTATTTCATAATTTTTGATTATGAAATACCGTGAAAATGTCACAATCAAACGACTATCTGAAAAAAGATAAAGCTTTATACAATCGTTGTTCAGATGTCTTCACTATCTCACAAACTCAAAGCAAATATGAGTACGATATGGATAATGTAAGGGGATTATAACAAATGCGAAAAATGGTATTTCATGTAGAGGGGAATGAAAGGGTAAATTCATTGAGTAATCATAGATAAGTGGATAGAACATAACATAGTGACGTAGTAATGTAGTAACTTCATGTATCACAAGCAGAGAGAACTTTTGAATTTATTCCTTGGGTGTATCAAATAAAAAATTTGTACATAGATAGGATAGCGAAAAAGTTAGCATTAAATAATAGTATGGAATAGCTAGAAGGAACTCTCATTTTATGGTTTTGACTTTAGATCAATTATTTTTTATTAAATTAGTTTAGCTAGAGTCAGTTTATAATATTTTGAATTTACGTTTTACTTTTTGCATACATAGTCACAATATACAGTATATATAATATTGCTATTGAACATAGGTCATTGACTCAAAGCTAAAAAGCAATTCTATCATCGCGCTTCAACTTTCGAAATTTTTTATCACTAATGCGAATTCTGGTCTTTATATCATCATAATCAATGAAAGGTCTATTTTCGCGTTCTATACGTATCCCATTCCTCTGCTTTTTATTGAAGCCTAAAATTTCAAGTGAATCTTCGTGTGTCGAATTGATATAAATTTTTTCATTCGCTAAGCAAAAAATATAGAGAATACATATAAGTTGATTCAAAAAATAGGAGTATTCAAATTAACAAGCTTACCAGATGCAAATTGCGCTCTGTTAGTATATGTGTATCCATAGAAATCTAGAAATTTTTCCTCAGTTACTAATGCACTGTTTTTCTTATTCTTTATATTCAGGGATTTCGCTTTTGCATTTGTCAGAAATATTAAAATCCAATTTTTTTCCTGAGTGTACTCCATAGCTTTAGTGACCTATATAAAGATTAATCAAACAATAATTAAATGAATTAAATGATACAAATTTATACCCGATATGGATGAAGCAGTGTTACCTTATCATGCTCGTCATTGAATTGGTTTTTGTTAATCACGCTAATGGCATCTCGTTTTTTGATTTGCAGGGCCACGCATAATGTATCCGCTTCATTGGAATCGTGTTCATAATATTTAAGAAACTCGAGAGCATCATAACTTGCCCCGCTGGCATTGATGTAAATTATATTATCATTCCTGGGATCCGGATGATCAAGTTTGGTATAATATCTATCAAGCACCTTCGTTTTATAATCCATTTTATTATCTTTTTTGTCGTCTTCCGTATCCATTTCATCATCACCCGCGTCCATGTCATCATCATCCGTATCCATTTCTTTATCATCCGTGTCCATTTCGTCATCATCTTGCATGTCGTCATTATCTTTACCCATTGCTATTTTATTATATCAGATTAGCATTAAGCTTTTATATGGCTATTGAATATCCATAGAAAATTATAATACCTGGATACCGATGTTTTAATCCACAAATTTCGAGGTCTTTAGGAAGGAAAACTTTGCCAGTTGGAAATCTACGGGAAATTTTCACACCGCTAAGAAGTTCTTTCAAATTGATTGTCTGATATCCTAATAGACGGAAGAGACTGAGGCGTAACGCCCAGAATTGGGCATTGAACTTCTCAAAATCCTGCCAATACATTGGCTCATCATATTTGAACATGGATTTCCAAAAATTCATCCCAGATTTATTAGAGCTTTTGACAAGTATACTTGTCCACAAATAAGGGATGTGAATATAAAAATTTTTTGTTATTGTATTTGCTAGGACCAGATTGATGAGTCCCATGGAACTGAGATCCCGATAACTCGTCAATTTATCATTAAAATTGATTTTGTCCTCTTTGTCAACTGACAAATTCAATATGGCTTTTGCCAGGACTTCTGTCAACCATCGCGAATACGGTCCTAAGCCATATTCATCCGAGACTTTAGATTCAACTCGATGCATAATGTAATTAATTTCCACCTTATAAGGATCTTTATTATCCGGATCCTTTGTTTCTATCTCACGTTGGAAGTAATCGTAAAAATACTCTAAAGTTCTTACGTGACCTCCAATGTCACCAATACTGACTCGAAAGTAAGGATGGAGTTTGACATATTTTTCGTCAACTAGACCCATAGCCTTGCCAATCTCAATTACATGATCCATATTGAGAAGATATAATGGAAGGCGAAGTTGTTTGTACCTAGATTCTGTGATATATTCCTCAAGAGGTCCTTCGATTGTTCCAGCCAGAATGGGGATGAAAAAAATGTCCCGTGAGTCAAGCATCATTCCTCCAATGGAGTTTACAAGCCCCTTACAGGCACCTTCATGAACACCATGCAATTTGTTGAACTCGTCAATTCCAAGGACTAAGACTAGCAGAGGATTAGAATTTATTTCTTTTTGTTTAATAGTATCAGTACGAACAACTTGAAGAGCAGTATTCAGGGTAAATCCAGAAATTGTTGAATTTTTTTTACAAAGTGAACGAAAAGCGGAAAAAGAGAATTCACCATAATTATGTTTCGGTCGAAAGTACTCATATAAAATGCGTACTGCAAGAGATGTCTCGGCATTAATTACTTGGCTATCGCCAGTTTGAACAATTACTAAATCTTCAATCTTAGCGGGGGAACCATTTCCATAGGTGATGTTTATAACGACCATATTATTGAATGCGTTACGAATATCTTCATTGTCAGAGTCGTCAACATTACGCATGAGCAATTCTTCGATTTCATCGAGAAATCTGCTCTTTCCAGTTCCAGGTCCACATGCTACGACGGGGATTGGATGATTTTCTTTGTCCCTTTCATTACGGTGTTTAAATCGCTCCACAATTCCATTTCGTCCTAAAAGCTTATCTCCATTCCATAAGGTGTCAATAGCATCATCTCGCCCACAGAATTCAAAGTTCTTACCGAAAGACGTAACAAGCTAAAAAGAGATCATCGGATTTAGTCAGAGGAGCCGATAAACACAATTGACAACATGACAAAGCTGGAAGAATTACTCGATTTCGGCCACGGTTCAATGTGAATTGTTGTATCCATTCGTAGATGGAAGAAGCATCATTCCAGTTAGGTCCTTAAAATCAATAATAAGTAAGAGATTTGTTTGGCATCATTCCAGGCCAATAGATACTCGAAGTTATTTAGATACTGTACCTTGTTCAGCGCCTTGATGAGAGGGACCTGCTTTATCACGAAAACAAAAGAGATCAGAACAAATTGATATTTTGTCACTGCAAATTCCTTGTTCGAGAGGTAAAGCGTTAGAGACACTTGCCAGCAGTTGTGTTTGTAATGACAGCAACAATGTGGATGTTAACATCCTTAGCATCAGGTACATTTGGAAAATAATTTACAAAGCTTTGTTCAGATTCCATAAGCTTGCCTCCAAATTTTTCAATATCGACTTCAGTATAAACAGGATTAAGATCATATTTTTTGGCGTTAATCTTCCAAAGATTCAATATATCAGAATCTTTAAACTTTCCTTCATGAGAGATAAGTTTTGTGAGTTGTCCTACTCTTACAGTCTCAAATAGATATTTTTTATCACCGATTTCGAAGAATTTCGTATTATCATTCTCTTTTTCGTAAACTTCAACCTGGAAAACGTATCTATTATCTAAACGTAAACAATTGTACGATCCAGCCATTACGATTACGTTTCTGTAATGATAAAATAATCTTTTAGAGAAGAGATTTAGAGAAAGTAGGTTTGAGAAACTAGAAGTATATATATACCTTTCTGAATACATCGTAATATAGATACTTCGACAAGCATAGTAAAAAAAGTAATTTATCAGTACACGAAAAAAAAATTGATTAATACGGTTTTATCATTTACTCGTTAGATTTTGATTCTCCGACGAATTCTCGGTATTTATTAACTAATGTTTAGTCGTACAAGTGGTCGTACGATTTACCGTATTTGACTAATTAAAAATAAATTAATAAAGCGCAGTAACGCTCTCGCTCTATGTAAAGATTTTCACTACTCCGGCCGTCGTGCTATTTTCTGAGCATGAACGTTATGAACTCATTAAAAAGAAACCGACCTACCGCAGTTGAAGAAGTGCTGACGAAAAAATTATTGAAGTACAGACGACAATTAAGGTAGGGTGAAATATATTTTTTCGGTTGTGGCTATGCATTTGCGAGGGAGTACATAAACTTTCGCCAATTTTGTTAATTTATTTCTGACTGCATGTTTTATGCATAACTGACAACCATTTGATTTTACTTTGAGATATCATCACTAATAGGTAAAAAAGGGTCAGAAAGGTGAAAAGGCTTAGAAAAATATAAGAAAAAAGGTATGAAAATGATATAGCCTGAACTTATATATTCTAGCAATCGAGAGAATGGTGATACCCTAAGATAGAATAATATTATAGAAAGAAGATAAGAAATGTTATTTCAGGTTATACCTGCCAATAGATAAGAAAAAGCCCGAAAATATAAAAAGACTCAAAAAAATATAAGAAAGTCTGAACTATTTCAGAATTATGTGAACAATTATGTGTCTAATTCTGGCAATCGGAAGGAAAAATAAATAATACTGTATATATAAATCCTAGATAATCAAGTAGAGAATAAATATACATTGCAAAATTAGCACTTTGTGTCTCAACCTGATAATTGAATGGATTATAAATATCAGATTAAATATTTAGCATATCTCTAACAATTAAGAGGAAAATAATGGATTGCAAACTCAACACTTTATGCCTTAAGCTTATAATTGAATGGGAATATAAAAGTAGGATTGCAAGTAAGTTTAGCATAAATTCCTGGTAATTATATAGGCCTATTATAATAATGCCCTTTGTTTTATCAATCTTTAACCTTTTGATCCTAAGTTAGAAGGTAACTTATACATAACTCGATTAATTTTAGCCAAAACTATTTTATAATTTCAGTCAGAATTTTAGAATAATTCTTAACATCCTAGGTATTATCCTAGATTCTATCTAGTAATCCATTTTAGCAATAAAAAGATCACAAAGTTAGATAAATACATGTATAGCTTCTTAGAAATAAAAAAGTTACAGAGTAATATAAATATACAAATAACTCTTTAATAATAAAAAGATCACAAAATTGATCCAATATGATAGTTTTTTAATAATAAAACAACTATAGACAATCAGAAAAAATTACAATCATTAGATTATAAAATTACCATTAGATTATAACACTATTATCACTAAAGATGAGAACTGTAATACTTTTAATATTACAATATATGTTATAATTAGTTTTGACTTATTTATATTGCAATTAATTTTAGCTCCATTACTATTAGATTATAATATCATAATTAGATAGCAGGAATTAACTAAAATAATGTGATAAAAACATTTCAAAAAAGAGATGGTACTACTATTAGATTATGACATTATTATTAAACTATGATATTACTATCATAATCTAACCCAAGTTGATGGTGATTTTTTAAACTAATTAGTTTAAAAATTATTGTCAACTACTATCAAATTAACAAAAATGGTTGATATCCTTTATTATAAAGACATTTTAAGTTTTATGAGGCTATTATTTACCAGTTCTTTAAATTACTTGACTAAGATAAGCGATATATATATAAGTATAGAAGATTTTCTTCATAAAGAAGATAAGATAAATAATTAAAGATTTGTAAATATAAAAGACATATGATAAAATACATGTAGAATAAATGATTAAAAATAAAATTATAGTATTATCTCTATTAGTAAACTGTTTATTTATTAAAAGATTTATTATTACAAAATAAACTTAAGATAAACTTAAATTTAACTTATCTCTACTTAATTCTAAATTGTTCTTATTTATATAAAAACTATCCTAATGTTATAATAATTAAATAAATAAAATGAATTATGATGTTATTATAATAAATCTTATTATAATAAATTTAGTTTATAATAAACTCATTCTATATGAAATTTATTTAATTTAATAATAAAATCTCAATATTAGATATAATAAACATATTAAAAATTTAAATATAGAATACACATTATAAATTTATATGTGTTATAATAAATATTATGTAATATACATTAATCTTATTTATTGTAACATATTTTTATTTATTGTGATACATTTTTATCATTTTTATCTAATATAATACATTTAATTTTTTGTATCACATTTTTTTCATAACATATTTTTTTATTTTTTTCTACAAAATACTATTCATTAGGAGAGACAAAGAAAAGGAATCAGAAAAAGAATAAGTTTATCATATGCAGAAAAATAAGAGTTATGTAGGTAGTAAAAAAATAATCTATGATACAACTAAGAAGATTTTGTAAAAAATTTGATATATTAAAGTTACAAGTTTATAATATATTAAAAGAAAAGGAAAAATAGTTGTATATTAATACTTCAAATTAGCAAGTTAAAAATTAAAAACAGGATAGATGTGTTAAATTTCCAGAAATTGAAACTTATTATATCTTTGGATGTAACAAGAATTAGCTTCAAATTTAACATTATAGAGATGTATTAAAAGCTAAAACTTTGAACTTTACAGCTAGATTATAAATAATATCCTTTACTGTTTCAAATAGATAGCTAGCAAAATTTAAAAAAATGGTATAATATAAGATAAATTAATAAAGCTAAAAAAGTAAATAGCATATATTATTAGAAATATTAGAATAAAAGCGTAAGAATTTGCAAGAAATTATTAAACAATATGATTTTAGTGATGTTTATAATATTGGTAAAATAGGTAAATATATATTAAAATACATATAATTTTAAATTTTATTATAATAAGACTTAACATTATAATCTTTTATAAGATTATTAAATTTGATTTATCATTGGTTATCAATAAAAAATTACTTTTTTTCTTAATTGATCTCATTTGTAATTTTGCTTTAAAATTTAACCAAATTTATAATAAAAATCATTATTTCCTTTTTTTCTTTTTACAATTAAGCTTATAATTTCATTTTATAATAAACATTTTTTTTTATATAAAAAATAAAAAGCAAAAAAAAAATAATAATTTGAGAAAACAAGGAAAATGATTTTGAAAAATAAATTGTGAAAAAATAAAAATAAAAAAATATTTGAAGAAATAAGAAAGATGATTTTGAAAAATAAATTGTAAAAAATAAAAAATTATTTAAAAGAAATTTAGAGAAAAAAAGAAAATTATAAAGAAAATTTAATTTTTAGAAAGGAAAAAAACTTCTCTATTTATAAAAAATTAATTAATATAATTAACTAATAATTAAAAATATTCTATTAATTAAAATTACATAATCAATTATTAAATCATTATATTCAACTAAAATTTCATAAATATTCATTATACTTGAATAAAATTACGTAAATACAGTCAGGGAATTTACCAAATATATCTTATTGATCAATTTTCTAATATGGTAAAATTATCACTGATCAGAATATTCTAGATTATCACAATCAAAAAAAAAGATTGATTAAATTAAAAAATTTTTAATCCTATAGTTATAAAATTGTTTTATTGATTTTTCATTTAACAATATGGTTATACTACAACAAAAATGCTAAAAAAAAGAAAAAAAATTATTTCTTCGATTTCTGAGTTTGTCTAAAAAAACTGTGTTGAAGAAATATCTGTTTAAAAATATCTAAATAAAAAGTTCCCTATAAAAAATTTCACTCTTGATTATTAAGTTCATTGTCTGAATTGAATGCAAGTTTTATCTCTTGTAATATATATAACAAATCATTTTTCTTTTTCGACTTCAAACTGGAATTTTTTTTTGAGCATTTTCACCAAGCTGTTCAAGAAGGCTTTCTATCTTTAGCAAAATTTCAGGTTTGGTCATATTTTCTTCACTTTTTTGAGCTTCCGCTTTTTTGTTTTAAAACCAGTATTAGCCTAAATAATGAAGAATTATTTTTATTAATAAATACTTCAGTGATGAAATTTTGTCGAGCTTGTTTTGCTAAAATGTGAAAATTTCTAAATTATCATTTAATCCATATTCTTCTAGGCTTTGATTCATGAATTCAAGGCTTCGAAGATAAGTTTGAAATCTTTGGCATTCCATAGTAAATTCTGGCTGAGTTCTTAGACCAGAGGTTTGATAATTATTATACCCGATTACTCCAAGTAAGTTATTTCTAAGCTATAATTTGTTATAAAATTAGTATATATTATTAATAATTCAATTGAAATAAAAGTTACCTCAAGGAATTTTTTACAATTACGTGTAGCAATTTTCCAATGATTATATTATGGGATAGGAGGTATTAAAGTCTTTAAGGTCTTGTTTACCTCCTACATAATGGCATCTAGTCCCTGATGCTATTCGTAAATACCTGATCAAGAAATAACGTAGTGTTTCTCTATCATTTCATGTACTTCTGGCCGAAGTCGTATCAGCTGAATCTCATCGATAACTTTTATTTTGCGGTAAATAGGGTGATATCTCACAGATCAAATAGGAGAGAATTTTCTTTTAGCAGCTCTTTTTAATAAAGGATCATTAGTTCTTATAGCCTTCCGATAATTGATTATTGCTTATAAGTAAACAAACGTCTATTGTAATAAAAATTAATGTTATTATTATTTAAAAGCTTTGTAAAAAAAAATAAAGTCAACGACCTATTCGTATTTAATCTGATAGAGCAAATCTTCTTATTT